CTATAGATGTGTGTAGTAGTTATATATATATATATATATATATATATATAGCGAGAGAGAGGGGTGATCAAGTAGATAGGCACTAAACCAAATCCAATAGGACCAGATACAATATAAGGGACGGGCAGACCCAACCTAAGCTTGCCTAGTATCCAGGCTAGACCTAGACCCGGCCCAGGTCGAAGCGAACCAGTTGACACCCTTATGTTCTACGCAAATTTGTTGGTCATCAATGGTAAGAAAAAGTAGCATTTATTATGTGATGTTACTGGTGCTGCATCCTTGTGAACCACAATTGGAATTGTATCATGTAATCAAAAGAGCTTCAATTAATAACACCTAGAGCGCATGTGCTTTTACAGTATCATGTCCTATCAAAACTATTTTAGTATTAAGTCTACCTATTTAAGCATGAAGGTGTTTCTTATAAATTCACAAGCGACTTTGTCCATTGAATTCTTGTCAGTAAAAATTTCTAAACATTCATTTTGAAGGGATTTTTTGGAAAGAGCAAACCAAGCCAAATATGTAGAAAGTTAAAATATTTTGTAGAAACTGGTCTCGCATGATTTTGAAATATTATGAAACTTAAGAAAATACATATATTTTTTCAAGATAAAAACAATGTATTTATCTTAAATAGTCGAGATAAGGGCCCAGACAAATGATGATGATAATAAAGAGATTGGTTGTCGCTTCGGTCATATTTGGGTATGCTTCGGTCCGATTAGGCCGAAACTTCTCCCTCTTCGGTCTAAGCAAATTTTTTGAAAGTTTTATTTTTAAATTTTTCATTACTTTTATATATAAACCCATACTTAATTTATATATATTAAATTAAACAAAAAAATGAAAAATAAAATCCCCAAAGTCTTCCCTCAAAGGGGCTAAAGCATTTCAATTGCTTCATTGTTCTCACCAAACTGAAGAAGTATCCCAAAAAAATCTGACAACATTGATTCTAACACTAAAATATTGGTTTATGAGGTTTGTTAAGGTTGGACTATCGATATTTGTAAAACTAAAGAGTTTCAAGACATTGTTGTACTAAAACAAAAATAAAAAGTTTATAGGGACATTGTAAAACAATTTGGATGGACCATGCAAATCTAGGTCTTGGGCACAAAATCAGTAAGTGGTCCTTATGGTTGGAACTGGTTGTTGGGATATTGTACTCTGGTGAAAGGCCAAGGTACTTTTGGGAGACTTTTGGCCGGCCAAAAAGGCCAGGTTGATGTGATCCTATGGGACCCAAACCGGGCTTGAATCTGGCCCGCTGTTTTTGTATATATATATATATATATAAACAATCAAATTAGAGCCTACCTTTAAATAATGTCGAGAAATAGGATTTCAATATTAGAAATCTTTGTGATAGCCTTAAAATATATTTTCATTTTTATTTATAAAGTTTTATGGCTAGTTTGGATGTCAAATAAAAAGAAATTATTATCCAATAAAAATACAGTTTTTTAAATACCAATTGTAAAAAATACCAAGCTTTTTTTCTTTTCTTACAAAACCGTTCGAGTGTTAAAGTTTAATTCTCTTTGTGATTCTCTCCCTTTAACAATAAGAGGATAACTACACAATTAATGTTCTTTCTCTCACCTTGCTGCGTGTTTTTCCCTCTAACCTTGATGCAACCACAAATCCACGAGCATAAGAATGGAGCAAACCATAATGGTGAATTAAACATCTCCTTGTTTCTCTCTTCTTTTCTCCTCTTTAACATGAGACCCAAGCTAGCAAACCCTAATAGTAAATTAAAGATTTTCTTGTTTCTCTTCTCTTCTCCCCTTTAACAAGAGACCCAAGCTCATGTTATTGTTATTCTTCTTCTCTGCCTTATTTAAGCTTCCTCTTTTACCTATGTTTAGAGGTATGATGAGAGTATGCGCTTGGTTTAAAAAAGAGAAAGATAGAAGGGAAGAGCTTGGTCATTCTCGAAAGAGACAAACATCCTTTAATCCAGCCTGCTGTAGAACTTCTATGAGCAAACAGAAACTCGAGTGGCTATCTCCTTCAGAATTTCTTTGTAGCAATTGATTTTCCTTTGAAGATTTCAGGTTAAAGTAGTTTAGAAAGAGGGAGTAGATTTGGGGTTTTTGAGGTAGAGAAAGAGATAGTAGATTTGGCGTTTATGAGGTAGAGATAGAGTGGATTTGGGGTTTATGAGGTTTCACGATGTGGGTTGTTGGATCAAAAGGTGGGGTTTGTACAGGGGTGAGAGAGCCGCACTTCCATAAAAAAAAAATCAACTCTGATTTAAATAAATTCAACTCTGACTTGAATTTTTTTTTGCGATAACTTTTGTTTTGAGATTGTAGAATTTTTTATTTCAATCTAAAAATCCAATAAAATCTTGTGGTTGTCCAAACACTTCAAATCTATTTCACGAGATATTTGAATTGCAATCCAAAAATATCACAACTTTGGGTACATCCAAACTAGCACTAAAGCTTCAAAAATAGTGTAAATCGAGTAGATATATGAAAATCTTGAAAATTGACGGTCCAAAACTGTATTACAAAATGTACTATTTTCAAAATTTAAAAACCATTTTTTTCTCATGTCCATGCATCTTGATGTCGCGATGATCAATTTGAGGATATTTGGGTATCAAACAACTTTTCTAGTGAAAGTTTTTAGGTAGACTCTAATTTGATTGTTTAGAGCCTCGGCTCTATATAGAATTTTTCATATATATATATATATAGGTGAATTGCTAGTGTTTCGCTCAAGCATGTCCGTAACAATTTTGCCTAAAAACCGCCACAAACCTACGGGAGTCGTGGCGGTCCCCATATATTTTTTGCGTTAATTTTGTATAAAAAAACCCATCACAAACTTGCTATATCCATGACGAACTGCCACGGACATGCTATGCCCGTGACGGTCTTTAATCCATGCTGTCTAAAAAAATCGGACAGTACCGAGCCTATGGGCAAAAATATTGTTCATTTGCACCCATAGGCGATTTATAGTCACTTTCTATCTATATATATGGCATGTCTGTGATGGGTTTTTTTCAAGCAAAATTGATACAAAAAGTATAAGGGGACTGCTACAGC